ACTGTTATATTTCTTAATTATATAAATAGCCTCATTTTTAATAAAATATTATTATAGATAAGTATATTAATATTATTTTACTATATATTAGAAAATTTACTGTTAATATTTCTTAATTATATAAATAGCCTCGTCTTTAATAAAAATATTATTATAAATAAGTATATTAATATTATTTTACTATATATATTATAAAATTACTGTTAATGTTTTTTAATTATATAAATAACCATCTGATGAACTCTTTTATACAACATAATATATATAATATAAAACATAAAAGATCATACATATAGAAAATGAAAGATAAGCACCATACAAAAGAAATAACATAAAATAAAACTTACAACAAATATAATTGCTTAATAATCCGATAAATCATTTTCAGATCCATTAAAATTATTAAAATAATCCGATAAAATATTATTAAATTCTTACATAACATGATAATAGAAGATGATTGTGATCTCGAGGTGCCAATTGAAGTTGAAAGAGAAGTCATGTCAAGGAAAATTGAAATTGAAGAAAATAATAATGTGTGGTTTCAAAAGTTTCTTTCCCATTTCAGAGAAATCAAAGATAAAGAAGCTCATTTTTTACTTCGAAATGCATGAGTTGATCATTGTGGGAAAATTATTATAATTCTCATGAATAATTTAGAATTGATGTATCATTGTGTTTAAGCTATATAATGTAATTTTTAATGTATTAAATGTATTCTTTTAAAACTTTGTTGAGTAATTTTATTTATATAATAAAAATTTAATTGTGGTTAATATTGTATTTAATAGAAATGCTATAAATTTAAAATGGACTGTTTTGCAAATAGTATAAATGAAAGGTGATATTCCTAATTTTGAAATAAATATAATATTAAAAATATTCTTTTGGAGTAGAAAATGGAGCAATACATTGGAGTAAAACTCAACTGCATTTTGGATTTACTCCATTTTAGAGTAGAAAATGGAGTAATACATTGGAGATGCTCTAAGACTAGCGAAGGCGCGTCAAAGCATGAGTTGGGTCCCGTGTCCCTTTTGACATGCGAACGACTTTTGTCGGCGTGGCTGGTTTATTAATTTTCTAAAGAAGATGCACAACATATTCATAAATTTTCACCGTCTCAAATCTACCCATAAATTAAATGATATATAACTCGTAACCGCTGTTCTGTTACCATTAAATTATTGTCACTATTCATATGAAAATTGTAGTAACGGAAGATTTATTTATGCAATAAACAAATATCTTAACATGTTTTGGGAGTTTGAAATTGGCATGTGAAATATAATGAAGGTACGAGACTTATTAAATGAGAAAACATGATTCGTGTCTGCTTGAGTGCTTGTAGGTGTAGCAGGTAGTAACGATATGTGTTTTTTCGTCTCTTTATGGAGTCACACATATAATTTTGATATTTTATAAGTACTATTACGTTTATCTACACTTGAATCCGAGATCGGATATGCATTCTTTAAGCGTGTGGTTAATAACTTATTATGGTCGCAACACAAAAATATATGATATTTAGGCGATCCATGGCATAGCTAGCTGGAGGCTTCAACCAGAAAGACTGTTTTGGTTAAAAAGGGTCGGACCAATCCCGCAATCGTCGCAGTAAGTGATGAAACCACAAATGTGGGGACGCACTTGATTAGTTATGTGAGATCTTAAAACTTTAAAGTGGCAGGAGATCTGAGTAGTCGATCTCGGGTAAGTAAGATGTTTCTAAGAAAATCTTTAAAGAATCATGCAAGAGAACAGTAGAGAGAATTAAGATTTGGTCTAAGACAGAACATGTGGTCACTGCATGCAAACAGTTCTCACTTCTTAATCGTCGGAATCGCAGGAACAAAAATTATATAACTATATATGATTATGTTTGGTTCATATTTATATAATTCCATTTACATCTGGTACTATTAAGTGATTAGTTTAAACTGTAGGCTGGAATTGAGAAAAGTATGAATAAAAGAATATTAAATGTCAAAGACATTTCAAAGATAAGAGTGTGGCGTGGGACTACAACTTGGCTTGTAAGTTCAGACATTTGAATAGGTTAATTTCTTATACTCTACTTTTCTTAATAGTTGACTCACACATTTACAAGAGTGTGACATCTTCTAATTACTTGCATAACTATAACATAATTAGTTTATATATATCATTGTTAAGCATATGTACGGCTGTAGCCAACATATTCTCTTAAAAAGTAAAGAGAATATATAAAAGGTCTTCTTCAGACAATATGAATTTTTATGATTTTGAACTTAACCTAATTAGATTTCGGTGATTACAGTGACAACTAACTGCCTGATCACCAAAATTAGTGACAATAGTCTTTGTATTTTTTATTCGTATTATTAAACTTTATTCATATTTTAGATAGGTACAACAACTAAATCTCTAGATTTCATAGGATCTCCACAGTTTTCACTTTTATAAGAAATTAAATATTACATATTCTACAGATTTAATATTCCAGTCTTAAAGGGATGCTCCAATCAATTAAAGGTATGTTTGATTCATGTTTTGTTGATTACCAGCATACTGGTAAAATAATGATGTGGTTTTTGTTACTAATATCTATTACATTTTGCCATTTATGTTATGTAATTGAATTTCTCTGCTAACTTAGGTGTAAGAAAATAAATTTTGTTTATTAATTGTTAGTTACGTTAAAATTCATTAATTTATCCATTTATTTTGTCACGTATCATGCTATTCTCACCTTTTTACGCTTCCGCCATTGTACTAGTATAGTAGTTGTAATTTTATTCATAAATTCAAATATGTTTATATATATATATAAAAAAAGAAAGAGTCCAATTCTTTTTTCTTAATATATATATATCAAAAAAATTCAAAATCGATTTTTGACAAAACTCGTAAATTAAAAAGTAATACTAAAAAAAAGGTAATACTAACTCCGAATGATCCGAGTGAGTGTCTACTACCAATGCATCGATGTGTATAACGATAAACGTGGTCATAACACAATGACAAATTCACCAGTAATGTTAAGCTTTAACCTCTACATTGAGTTTTGATTGCAGACCATTCTCTCTCTCGGATATGTGTTTCCAGTTCACATGGCACTCACAAGACACAATCAATGTCTTTAGGTTGTCTGTCTACCATACTTCAAGCTCTATTGGTGAATGTCTTTATTTCGGTTTGGTAAAGTGTGGTTCTTTCCAATCAACAAAAATATTGTTTGAAATAGTTGTGTAAGTAGTTCTCGTGATAATCAATATATATGGAAGCCAGAACTATTTACCTATTCCTTCTGTACACTCTTGGTTAATATATTTTTTTTCAACATATCTAATATTTTATTATATTTGAATAAACTGTATTTTAAAATATACTCCCTCCGTTTCATATTAAGTGTCGTTGTAGAGAATTTTTTGCGTTACAAAATAAGTGTCGTTTTCGGTTTTCAATGCAAAATTTATTAATTTTATTATGTACTTAATTTTCAATTGGTTAAAATATGGTTAGGTGTATAGGTAATTGTGTTTTTATATAGGAAATATATAAAATTAATTGTTTCCTTAATTCGTGTGCACAGCTGTAGAGTGACACTTATAATAAAACAGAGGGAGTATATCCATACCTTTTTCCAAGTGTCCCACAGAAATAGTTAATTGTTTGAGAGTGTTCAATTTAATTTAACGATAAGTTATATGCAATTCAAATACTCTCAGTTTTTTTTTCTTCAAAAAAACCTCTCTCAGTTATTTAATGGAAGACAGAAATAGAAGAGGAAAGAAATCATTTTATTTTTTTGAACAAGAAAGAAATCATATAATCACTTTACTAACGGGTTAAAAGAGGCGTGGAGGGTTTCTCACTTACCAGCAACCAGAAAATATTAAATGGGCCTCCGAAAATATTATTGAACGAGAAATTCCCCTGATATGTAATGAACAAATAACGTTTCGTTGTTCTTCGTCCTGCTCCTTCGTCTAGATCACTCTTTATTTATATTTTTACCAAAAAAATGGGTTGATCACTCTTTATTTATATTTTTACCAAAAAAAGATATATATTTATAATATCCACATGAAAAAGGTATCATGCTTGACAGGGTTGTGTGAATATTCCTAAAGGGCACTTTGATTCTTTAGCGTCACTTAATACTACTTAACCTTGTATGTTTAGCTTGGAATAAGATTTTTCTGGGAAGCAATCTTTATATGTGAATGTGCTTTAGATTGATTAGTAACAATATTTAAGTTGATATGAATTATCAATCACCAAGCCCGTCTAGCTCAGTTGGTAGAGCGCAAGGCTCTTAACCTTGTGGTCGTGGGTTCGAGCCCCACGGTGGGCGTTTGGCAGCTTTAGTCGACTTAACCTTTTTTGTTTCTCAAATGAAATCCTTACATTCATAGATTACATACAAACTAGATCTCCATGAACTTATTATTAACATCTTTAACATGCTGCTTCTCTCACGTTTGTTATGAGATCCTATTGTCTTGAATCTTGTGGACTCTCTTCTTCCTCAGTACTACACGTTAGAATCTTTGCTTTACCCGCCTCTTTCTCCCAATCAATCCTCGCAATAAAGATGAGCAATATCAACAAACAGACGAAAACTCCACCCAAAAACCCTATCAAGAACCCTTCAACCCCTAGTTTAGCTTTAAACGCCAAACTTGCCCCCAAGGGCAAAGCCAATAGGTAGAACCCACCAAGATTCGCATACATTCCAAGCGACGGCTTCGCTGTCCCACGAACAATCTCTCCACAAACAAATACCGGGAAGTTTATCACTTCAAACACCGCCATAATCAACATCAACTTCTTCACACTGTTTATGATCATTACGTCATGGTGACCGTACAAAGACCCCCAGACACCTCTACATGCTATCATCACCAAAGCTCCAATGCATCCCGAGACAACACCCAAAACTAGTGTAGTGCAAGCTGCTCTATAAGCTCCTTTGGGATTATTTGCGCCTAGTTCATTAGACACACGTGTAGCCACGCACGTGCCTAAAGAGAGCATCACAGCGTAAAGCAAGTATTCGAAGTTGAATGTTATGATCAAGGCAGATACAGATTCCACCGGGTTTGGTAACCTTCCGGCTAATAGGATCAAGATCTCGTAGCACCACCACTCAAGGCACACGGTGAGACAACACGGTCCACTAAGCTTGAGTAGCTTAAGCCAGTCTTGAGCCTTTTGGTCTAACCACCCACCTGCTTTCCATTTGTTATCTTTAAATCCCTCAGCGACTATCACATAACCGGTTAAAAGAATCACAACTATTAGATCGGTTATCCAAACCGCCATTGCAACTCCTTGGATTCCCTTTGCTCTAGAGAGGAATATGTTGATGGGGATGTGGAGAGAAGTGGCTGCAGCTGTGGTGTACATGATGGGGAGTGTAACACCTTGTGAGCTTAAGTAAGCCTTGAGGGGACAAAGCAAGGAGAGTATTGGCAGATCAGGAAGGAGGTAGATGATATATCTTTTGGCTATGTAGGAGATTTCTTGTTTTAGACCAAAGGCAATAAGGAGCTTATCAACATTGAGCCACAAGATGGAAATAGGGATTGAGATCAAGAGAAGTAAGAGCACTGCCATCAAAAGGGTTTTATGGAGAAGCTTGAAATTCTTGGCTCCGAAAGCTTGGCCACAAATGGGTTCCATTGCTGCTGAAATTCCGTATAAAACAGCAAAGCCAGTAACGTTTGCAAAGGAAAAACCTAATGAGCCTCCGGCTAGGTTAACCTTACCTTGATGGCCAAGAAAGATAGAAGTAGTGGTTAGCTTACCGAACCACAACAAGTTCATAACCACTAATGGTAAACCAATTCTCATTTGAACCTTGAGCTCATGAACAATGCTCTGCATCAAGGTTTTTGATCTGCACCCTTCAGAGACTCTCAGTCCAGAAGTCTTTGCAGAACTACACTCTTCACAGACTTCTGGATCAAGTGACTCTAACTTTGATGTTTCTGACATTTTTTTCTGCGTAGACAAAGAGGATAATTAGGAGGGAGAAATGTTAATAAGTGAAGCAGAAACAAAGGTAAAGAACCTTAAGACGTTTCAGCCAATTTTGGTTCTTAGAGTTGCAAAGATAACTTGTGTTCTTTTGTTGATGAATATCAGCAGATTTGTAGGTGAGTATGGTTTGCGTGAGAGGCTGCAACTAAATGAAGCGATTTTCTGGATAAAGTTTTTGTAACGGCCAAGAAGCAGAGTGTGGAACAACTTGGTGGGTTTGCTATCCTCTTATAGTGCATTGCTGATGATGCATCCATATTACCCACATTTGCACTTTTGTTTGTTTGTTTTTCTCTGCTTTTAATTTTTATAATATGCAACTAAAATAATATATTGAGAAGAGAAAATAGACAAAAATATTGGAAATACTGGATATGTATGGGTTTCAATTTTCCTTTATATAAAAGCAGCAACGATCAGTCAAAAAAAAGAAGCAACACATAATTGCACAAGGCACAGTTGTCCAATGAGAACACCATAAAGTTAACTAATATACCAACTAGTTGCATATTCCCCGCGCAAGCGCGGAGCCGAGATCATTATGTTTGCGTGTATTTTTTTCGATTGTTGGTTTAGTGGATTCTTCTAATGACACCAATTAATAATGAAATAGAAAATTTCATGTTTTTATATCGTATGTCAAAACTTGATATAATTCTATATTTATAGTATTTATATTTGTATTAAACGATTTATCAATATGAAAATAACCTTAATTAAGTTAATATTCGTTGTTTAAGTTTCATTAGATAAGTTTTTATATATGGTTTTTTGTAAGTTTCGGTTTTGTTCATGAATGATGTGGCATTTTTATCTACGGAGC